AAAAAAAAAAAAAAAAAAAAAAGAGGAAGAATTATAGAAAAGCCGCTATTTTCTCAGGCGGTCGGAGGTGTTTTTACAGGGGGGGCTGGTGAGGAGGGGTTCCGGGCAAGGGCGCGGTGAGAGCCCCGATGGGACGGTCCGACCCAGCCCCGGGACCCCTGAGCGGGCCGGGATTCCTGTGGGGCAGGAGAGCCCGCCGTCCCGCTGGGGCTGGGAGCTGCCAGCTGGGAGCTGCCCTCTGGGAGCTGCCCTCTGGGAGCTGCCCTCTGGGAGCATCCCTCTGGGAGCATCCCTCTGGAGCTGCCCTCTGGGAGCATCCCTCTGGGAGCTGCCCTCTGGGAGCTGCCCTCTGGGAGCTGCCCTCCCGCTCCGTGCCGCAGGGCCACCCCCGGCACTGCACGGCCACCGCGCCCCGCTCCGTCCCTGCAGCGGCCCCGGGCTCCTCACTCTCCCAGCCCGTTCCGCATGAGCCGCAGCCACGGGTGGCGTCGGCGAACGAGCTGAAAAGCCCACTGCGTGCAGTGTGAAAACAAGCAGAGATTTTATTTTATTTTATTTAACCCTCTTGGAAAGCTGAAAATTCATTTAAACGGGCGAGGGCCTGGGGGGAGCGAAGCGTTTCTGTGGATTTATCTGGAGGGACGAGGTGGCCGGGAGCAAGCAGCCCCACGAGGGCCCACAGGGACGGGCTCCTGGCAGGGTGGATCCTGCCGTAGGACCCCACCGCACCTGGATCCTCCCCGTGGGTACAGTCGGGGAAGAGGCGGCTCTCGGTGGGACACCGAGGACAGCGGCCGAAGCGGCCTGTGCAGAGAGGTGAGCCGCAAACCCACCTCTCGCTCCAAGGATGCCTCCCCAGGGGAACGGCGGCTCCAGGGTCCCGCGGGGGGACACGCAGGAGTCTGGCGGGAGAGAGTGAAATCCGAACCGGCAAACCCCGAAATGAGGCCGGGCAGCCAGGGCTGAAAAGCGTCCAAGTCTGTCTCAAGCAAACCAAGAGATGAAACATTTCGGGTTATTACGTTCTGCCTTTGAAGCAAACCGTTTCCCGCAGATAACAATGCGTAGGTATATTTAGACAGCTCGGCTCGTCCAAGGGGAATGTGTCTTGCGCTATTTGAGAAAAAACTCTAAGAGTAAGTGCAAATATTTGACGCTGAAGAGCTCTTAAGGCTTGAAGAGTACCATTTACTTATTTCTACACATCAGTGTGGGCTTAGGATGTTAAATAGATTAAAAGGCTAAGAGAGGTCACTGAAGTAGACTCTCTTTCTCTCATCCTGACTTTTTTTCCTTGCAAAGTTTTTGCACTTTCTTTAGAGTGTCCTTGGCAAACTCCTCTTAAGAGCCACCTCGGATACTGTATAAGTTTGTGGAGCTCTGAACCCCGGCCCTCTCCCCTCCTCTGGTCGACCCCCCCCCCCCCCCCCCCCCCCCCACCACCCCTCCCCCGCA